CCACCACCTGCCACTGCCACTGCCACACTGCCACTTGCCACTGCCACCGCCACACTGCCACACGGCCACACTGCCCACTCTGCCACGGCCGCTGCCACTGCCACTGCCACTGCCACTCCTACTCCTACTCCTACTCCTACTGATCCTACTGCTACTGCTACTGCTACTGCTCCTGCTGCTGCTGCTGCTGCTACTGCTACTGCTACTGCTCACTATTACAGGGGCGCGGCCCCACCCAAAGTATGGTGCTTTGAGTTGAGATGTTGGTAAAGCATGCTAAAGCCTTTGTTATGGTTTTTGTGTCTGCCCAGCTCAACTCCATGGTCCATGATCCCTTCCGATCAGTGTCTGTGCACTGCCGAGGTGACAGTCATTCACGACGACACGAATATATCCTTGAGCCAGGAGAAATCGGAGCTCCTTGCAGACGGAACGCACAAGAAACGTGCAAAGAAGGGCGGCATGAAGTCCCAGTCTCTTCTGGGATTGATTCAGCGTGTTTTCGTACGACGGGATGGCGAAGCCATGGATTCCTTGGGGGAAACCATACATCTACATGCACCTGCTCAGGTCTTGCCGAAAGCTAACGCTTACACTGTTCGTGACAGGCTGTTGAGATGGGCTGTGTACTCGAGTGAAGGTTGCTCCTTAGCTAGAATAGGTGGGATGGAACATATGAGGTTAAACTGTGTAAGGGTTTAGGGTTTTGGGTTCAGATGGGTTTAGGATTTGGGTTCACGTACGGTTTAAGGTTTAGGGCGTGCAGGGTTGGATCATGCCGAGGCTCTGAGTGGTATGGTGGCCAGGATCTGCGTGACGCCTTTGCCCAGATAGCACTGAAACTGGTCATTTGTAGATCGGGTCTCAGATGTGATGTGAGGGGTTGATTCTACGACATGGTCGAGTTTTCAAACACAGCAGCGGCATTCACATGGACTAGAATTTATCAGAATAGTAAACTAAAGACTAAAGCTGTCTACAGCCTCAGGCAGCGATGCATTGCCCGTGAATCATGTGCACAACGCTGCGGAACACACTACGTGGGCTCGAGCGCGAGAGTCTGCAGACATCAATGACATTAATGCGAAGACCACCGTGTGTTTGGAAACCGATTGCATGCACCATCAGGAGAGCGGGCTTGCTTCAGGTTCAGGCTCACGTTACGGTAGGACGATAGGTTGATAGCACCATTATGTTGCGTGTGGTTATGACATCTGTTGGAGGCTGCGTTGGCCCGGCGACCCAACATTCTTCACATCGATGGTTTGGCTTCCTCCATGGTGCGCTTTGCCAAAACAATGAGATCAACGAAATTTCAGCAGTCAATGCAGACTGGCATCGCCCTGCTGGTGAGGCGGATGGAAAGGCGGGTTGTGCCAGAGCTTCCTGCATCTGTGGAGGAGTGGCAGGGTCAGCAAAAGACATTATTTATTTTAGCTGGTGGCGCGGCATTGCCGCAAACCCAGAGTGATCTAATCTTGATGATGTTCAACGGCCATTGGCAATCCTCACGAGAGCAGTGGGAAAGTGGATGCTGGACGCACTGGTGTAACGGCTGCTGTCCGAATGAAGAGGTGTGCAAGCAAAAGGCACAGCAGGCACTCGAGTATTTATTCATGAGTTTCCCGTCAGAGCCTTTGCTGTACCGTTGGAAACATTGGGAGCCCTTCCTGGAGAAGCTCGTCATGAGTTAGTTTTTTTTTCCGCCACTAACAAGAACAAGAACGTGACAATAACCTATAACTATAACTATAACTATAACTATAACAATGATAATGTAACTAATGTAACAGTGATGCCGGCATTTTCCCCTCCCTACCAAAAAACAATTGTCTCAATCGTCGCAGGTATTGCTTACTTGGCGTCACGATCAACGGCTTCTTAAAGTTTCTTGTCAATGCCTGTGCCCAAAACATGCCGGCAGATGTTGGTGCATGGGACGAGGACGACCCGTCACTGTCTTTCGCGGACAAGCAGGCAGTACGTCTAGGGAAGGTGAGAACGACAGTCCTGGATGCAAACTTTCAGGCGACTTGCCGGCATTTGTCAAAGCTTTGTTCGGACAGGGTGTCGAAATTTCGTGGCAGTATAGTAATTAGATTTTTCTAATTACTAATAATACTTAACAACAACGGTTTAGCGCTCAGGGTTTAGGGTTTGGGGATTTAGGGCCAAAACAAAATAATATGAACTTTGCACTGTGAATACTATGCGTCAACTTTTATATAAACAGCCTGATTCCGCGGCAGGCGATCTTGTTCAAAGCGGTCTTTGCTGGACAGCCCTTGCGCAGTCTCATGGACGATGTGTCGTATGTGGAGACCATACGAGAACGGTTGCTTCTGCTGCAAAAGGGTGTGAAACTGTCGAGAAGCAAAGCTGACCTTTCACCGGAAAAGCTGCGGTCGCAGAACTGGGGTTTTTTTTCAGGCCAGCGGGCGCAGCAAACACTGAAGGAATACACAGACCTTCTGCATACAGGCCCGGACCTCACTGATCTCACGGGAACGGGCTTTGTAGACCTGTTTCCTTTGGTTTTGCGGGGCATGACAGATGCATACCGTCGCTTGTTCAACAGAACGACGCGGCTGTGCTACAAGCTCCTAGCGGTATTCGACATGACGTTGGACGATGCGTGTGCATGGATTGGTGGATTGTGGAAGGAGTACCGAAACCGCCCGTGTTGCCTGGATCCACAGTTCTCCAAGGCCCGTGTTTCTGTAGTTGGTTTCCATTTCATGAAGCCTGAAGTATGCACTGTTGGTCGGAGTTGGGGGATTTTAGTATTTTGTTTACTTGTCTGTCTGTCTGTACAGTAGACAGACAGGTTCTGCTGCTGCTGCTGCTGCTGCTGCTGCTGCTCATAATTGCTTTGTCAGGTCATTTTCGAGTTTACACAGTATGGGCGAAGCAAGGATGCTGTTCAAGTCTTCAAGGATCTTGCTGTGGATTGCATGTTTCAGTTTCCAGCATCGTCTGTCCAAGTGGAAAAGTTGCATGCCAACTTGCAGCTCACCTGTTCCGTCAAGAAAGGCTCCGGCCGTAAGCCAGGCGTCATCCAGCAGGATGCATATGTCATGAGTGCATTCTTGGAGCACCGTGCCTTACGTGATGCAGTGGAGCAAGACAGTTTCGGTGGGCAGCGCAGGCGTGCAATGACGTTGTTGAGGCAGCGGTCGGTGCAAGAAGCTATGCCGTGCACAGCTTCGGCTAGTGCGACGAGTAAGAAAGCCAGGTGCTGGGTGGGCTGGGGTCTAGAGTCCTAGTCCTAGGCCGTAGGCAACAGTTAGCATCAAAGTTGTTTTTTCTTAACCATTTATTTAATATTATATAAATTTTTTTTATTTAATTATGGGTTTAGGGTTTAGGGTTTAAGGTTTATATAATTACATATTATATATATATATTATATAATATATATATTAATATTATATGTAATTATATAAATTATATAATATATACAATGATAATATAATACAAATATATAATTTATATAATATATATAATATATATAATATATATATATATAATATATATATATAATATTACAGTATGTTTCAAAGTAGAGTCACTCTAGTTTGGTCAATCACACTCCGTGTCTTGATGCAGCTGATTTGTTACAAAACCCGGGACAGGAAAACACTCTCGGGGCAGAGCATACCCATCAAACGCAAGCGTCGTGCTTGTGGATACAATGCCTTCCAAAAGCACAAGATGACAGGCCTTGGTGGTAAGGTTGGGTGTGGTGATCACCAGAATCTGCAAAAACAGATTTCCCAGGAGTGGGCTAGCATGTCCACCGAGCAGAAAGCAGCATTCGAGGCGCAAGCATATGCAGAGTCTCAGTCGAAAGAGAAGTTGACGCGAGCCGGTATTCAGGCAACGGCAGGAGGTGACAGTGGTTTGTCTGCATCTCAATCCAAACGCTTGGGGCAGCGGCAGTTGGATTTTTCTCTTGCCAGCATAGCTTCCCATGACGCATGGTCCCACGGGCTGCGACTGAGCAACCACATCAGTGCCCTGCGGCCCGAGTGTGTCAGGGACTTCCCCAATGTTGAATCTGCCGTCACAGAGATACGTCCTGCATTTGAGTACGATGAGCAGCTTCTTGTCAGAAGTAGTTTTTAAAGTAACCCAACCACCACCTACCTAACCCCAAATCTATATTTTGTAAAGTAGTAATAGCAAATGTTAGACCCAGGATCATCCAGAACCCGTCCGAGACGCCGAAACTTTTCCAATGCTGTGCTTCGGTGTGCCCGGGGATTTGCAAGGCACACAAAGGCTCCGACTACGTGGTACGAATGGTGAGCCAATTGCAGACGATGCTGTGCAGGTGCAAATTAGAAACCGGCTGTCTGTTGAAGTTCCATGCCTTTGTTGGGACCGATAGCAGGAGTGCTGGCCAAGCTCCCTCGCAAGACTCCAGCTCGGATAATATTCCGGGCCACTTGCGTAGCACGGTTGCATCCTCGTGGTGGGTTTTGGGGTGCACCAGTCTGCGGCCCCTTTGTCACATGATGCTCAAGGTTGCGCCAGCCTCTCGTGAATCTGATGGCAAACAGCTGATGCCTGTTGTCACAGGCGGGCATGCCGCGGTTGCATCCACGTATGAGATACTGAGTTTCTACGCAAAAGCATGCTTGGGTCGTGACATGATGCCGGAAGCTCGTATCTCGAGCTATTCTTATGAGCTCCGTGCTGGTGACGAAGAGCGGGCTGGCTACGGCAATTGTTTGGTGCTGACCGAAGGACCCTTACATGACATTCACGTTGGTGCCGAGATTACTCTGCCTCCTGCCCCAGCGAGTGCCGTGAGAAACAGCGCTTCATGCTCCCTTCCTCGCGGTTTGAAGATGCCTTGTCCGCCAAGCAACTCACGTGCATCTCGGGAGGCTCGCAAACCTGATGATGCAGCAAAGGCCAATGTGAGACCGAAGTCTAAGCTCCCGTCATCATCAGACACTGGCTCTGGGATGGGCAGCAGCGCTCTGCCTGCAGGTGAACCTTTCGCGGACGGTGCTTGTGATGATGTCCAGCTCACCGAGGCCGAGCAAGCAGAATTTCGAAGGGCAGCTGGTGTTGATGCAGCTGTGCAGCCGTCAGCAGGAGATGATGCGGATGCCGGCACAGCATCTTCATCATCACATTTGCCCGGTGCCGCCGATGCCGCATCGTCCTCCGTGGGGCCCGTGGATGTGAAGAGAAGCAGGTTCAACTTGTCTCTGGGCCTAGTTGATTTCAGCACTACCAGAAGAGCCTGGGTTTGTGCTTTTTGCAAAGGGAAGGAATCCAAGGGGACACAACGGTTCCAGTTAGCATACAATCTGCAGAAGCCAAGCCAATCATGGCATGCATCGTGTTTGATTGGCATGCCGGCTCACTTGCGTGCAGAGTCGTGCAAGTGGCTGCAGCAAGAACTGTTAGCCCCGACATGTGCAGAATTCGATAGAGACATATTCCACAATCTGTTGCAGGATTTGACCGCCTTGCAATCCATTGTTGCAAGCACGCGCAGGTGATGAAGCATCACTGCGTCACGGATAGCCGAACAATTGTACAGTACGGAGTCAGGAATTCAGAGGCCTAGGCATGGGGTTTCGAATAGTTATGCAGTTATGCAGTATGCAGTTATGCAGTTATGCAAGACTCTAAGGCTGTAGAGGGTAGAGACCTCACATTGAATATGGAGTGTCCTGAAACCGACATCCGAAATCCTACTTTGTGTGGCGCTAGGCAGTCCAGGTGTTGGTGTCAACCTTTGATAGTGGATGCTTGGATTTCGTGATTTCGTTGTTGTAGTAGCTCAGCCCTTGAATCAAGGCACATCCGTGAATTACTTAGCTTAGCTTAGCTTAGCTTAGTCACTCGTTGCTTTGCGAACGGTGACCGTACAATACTGTACCCGTGCACGTGACCTCGTCCGGGTTCGTGAGTGATCAGTCAGCAGTCAGCAGTGGGGATGAGAAGAAAAGCTTGCTGCTCAACTCAAGACCGTCAGGACCTTTGATTCTTGGATGCTTAGCTCAGCTCAGCGTTTAGATGAGATGTCACACAGGTTTTACCGCTGTCGTTCGTGTACTTCAGCTGTGGTCCTGTGACTGTGAGGCTGCGGCTCTGTCCCCACATGCAACAAAACAGCTGAGTTGCAACGCTGTCGTGTTGCAGCGCTACTACAACTTAGACTTAGGCAGTAGGCAACTTAGGCTGCTTAGGCTGCTAGCTTAATAAAACTTTAAAATCCTAAACCCTAAACTAAACCCTGAACCCCTAAACCCTAAACCCTAAACCCTAGTGTAGTACCTGGCCAGTTTGTAGCGGGTTTTGCCATCCAGGGAATCACGCGGAATCACGCGGCATGCGCTTTGAGATTGGGAGTTGGGAGGGACTTGAAGAATTGTTTTCCGGTAGCCAGTACGCAGTAAGCCGCAAGCCGCGACCCAAACTTGGGCTTTTAGTTCTGCAAATGCCCCTGCTCTAGAATCCAATGCCGCTGTCATCCTTGTACTTGGCCGTCGGACCGGCAGACGTGCCCTCGGAGGACAATGAAAGTACCAGATCCAGGACAGCTGTTGAAAGTTGAAAGTAGTAGTTCGCCAGTTCCTGCCACTTGTTGGATTGGGACAGCCAGCATTCATGCACCGCACGAATCCACATCAACATCAACATTATCATTATTGTTCCGTATCGTCCGTATCCGTGTGAGTTTGTTCAGGACGCCGCCGCCGTCCCCACATGCTGCACCAGCGGCTCCAGAACCCCCAGCCTTCAGCTGGAAGCACCGGTACGCAGAGAAGTTGGGCATCGACCAGGATTTGTTTAGGCGACACGTGAGCTCACCCCTTGTTGTTAGATGCACATGTCAACTTTTTCTGTTGCTGTGAGTTAGCGAGTTAGACACTTCGACGGGACGTGCGGCATTGTGTTGTCAACTGAGATTCTGAGCACGGCGTGTAGCGGATCCGGAGCACCTTCTTTTGTGCTCGCAGAAATCATGGGCCGGGAAAACTATGAGGAAGTCTGTGCATCAGATAACAATGCATCCCATTTGCAATGTGATAGGCTATAGGCTATAGGCTATCTATCGTGGCTATCCGAATCCTACCCTAAAGCTGCAACGGGAGCATTGATTGCCTATATGTGGTTCGTAGTACAGTGTAGCCGTATCTTGTTTCGAACATGATAATGATTCAGAGTACAGTCTAAGTCAGTCTAAGTCTAAGTCTAAGTGATATCAGGACAGTGATATCAGTAGCTATCTAATTATCTAATTTATTTAATCTAGTTCTAAATAATCATAAGAAGTCAAGAAAGCTGAGGCAGCTGTACGCAAGTTTTTCCTGCAGAAGCACGGGGCTGTGCATTTATACCACGACATGGTGGGGGCAAGGCGAGCTGCGGAGTTTGATTGGAGTGACGTTGTGAGTCGTTGCGAGTGACAAACTAATAACTAATAAGTGAGTGACCAGTCTGGTGTTACATGTTAAATGTTAAAGGCTAAGGGGGGCAACTCGTGATGTGTTTTGGACCCTTGGCGCATGGCAGGCTTGGCGGTTACTGCGCCGTTCATGAACGAATATGCCCGCCGCAAGCTCCGGAGGGCTCTGCAGCAGCTGGCCTGTGTACTTTTGTTTTTTTGGTCACTTTTGCGTGCATGGATCGTTCAATCACCTCCTCTTCCTCCTACTCTGGCTGCGTGTGAGTCAGTCTCTGAGTTAAGTCTCCAGGCATACTTCCGCAAAGAAGACCTGTACGTCTGCGGCTTTGTATGCAAAGCCTTCAGCGTTGCTTCGACACAGCGCTTTCAGCATGCGTCGGT